TGGCCTTTTTTAGTGTGCTCTAGTGGCGTAACGGTTCGTCGTAGAAACAAACGTTATATAGGAAACTTGTAGTAAATTTTGTAATCTTTAATTTTACAAAGCAGGATTTTCTCAAAAACCCACACTTACCGAGATTTGCCTGAAAACCCCAAAAAAGTGCCCAAATTCCAAGGTTTTTTGCAAAATAAACAATGTTCCGGGCAAAATATCTGTCAGCAAACCTCATATTCGTGTTCAGCGACCCAAAAAACATAAAGAAATGTGATGATTAGGACTGTACCTAAACTTTCCGCTAACTGCCAATTATATTCCTAATATGCCTAGCCTACCTGGAGATGTCTGTAAATTTAAAATTCCCATGCTATTCTTTTGGAGAATATTTTAAAATGTTGTAGTTTGCCTTTTTATGGATATATTTTTATCAAACTTGGCAAATTTATTTATTTTATACTAAGCTATTAATATAAAAAACACACTTTATTAGCCTCCCTGTAGCAGCAAACCAAGGTACTCTTTTAACCTAACGTTATTTAAATAGATTCAATTGCATATAAATTCAGGCAAATGGAAATTCGCTTATTCTGCAGGTTTGCTGCGGCGGGTGTATTTACTTTATTGATGAAAAATTACCTCGGAAATCTTTTTAATAGAATTGAAACAGATGGTTGCTAGCTCTAGTAAAATAAATAAATACTTTATTGTCTTGACAATATAATTGTATCCACAGTACAATTAGGTTTAGTATTAAATAAAACTCTTTAAGTTTTGTTGCATTTTTCATTGAAGTATTGACGTACGATGATTAATATCTATAAAGAAAACCCTCAATAGATATTTCTATATAGCCTAAGTTTGCCCAAAGACTGTTTCGTGATTAATAAAGAAACAATCATATGTTTCCTCAATTGTTTTTGGTTGAAAACAAATAATATTTTCAGTGTGTTGTTTTGTTGAATAAAATAAAGAAGATACCTAGTTTTTGTTAAAATTTATTTTGTCATTTCTAATGTTTGATATTAATCGTCCGTGATATCAAAGGAATTGAATCACGTATAGTGACGACTTCAGTCTTCAATAGAGTAGATCAGATTTTCAGTAAGGATTTGTTTTTTGAATATTTGTAAATGACCGTTTACACTAGAGATTCCTCTTATATCCCACATGGGAAAATAGGCTATTAAGCTACAATGTTGAGAACGGTTAAATGTCTTATCCATATTCTCCTCTACTTTCTAATGATAAAACATGCTTCTCTGTAGCACCAAACTTAATTTTATTTAACCCTAGCAGTGGCCAACGTTCAAGGGGTGACGGTTTGCCGTTTATGCTTAGAAAAATAATCCATGAAATTATTTTAACGGTAAAGAAAACACTTATAATCAACTCAGATGAGAACAATATATATACCGTTCGAAAGATCACATTCTGAACTTTGATTTTATTACATTAACAAACCCTGTAGCAGGTATATAACAATGTCACGACGATTAGAAATCAAATGAATTTTTGGCGTGTCACGACTTTTGCAGCCAACACTTGGGAACTGGCAAAACAGGTCTTGTTTGGCATTACCCTGCTCGGGTAATTTTTGTCTTGGGATGTTGCGGGTGGTACCACTGGATAGCCATTGATTTTATCTTCATTGTGGTAGTGATATTTAGAACTAAATATTGATTGGACAACCGGTACGATTTCATGAAAAACAGCTGTTTTAGAAATTTATAACAAATGGCCAACCGTCACAAGGTGACGGTATAGAAAATACGAATTACATACAGTGTAAGTTATTATTGTAACTTGTCATATAATATGTTATTTTGAAGAGGAAGAAATGTAGCTTGTGATTGTGGCAGCCCTGCGCTCAGGGTTATTTCTTTTTTCTCTCACTAAGACGACGAAAGTGTGTCACTACTGTCAAGGTCTCATACACAAAGTGCCTTGTATTCGCCATTGCGTTGCCATTGTGTGTTGTTGCCAGTGAGTTTTCGCTCTCGTTTTATCCGCGATTGATTACTAAATTCTTTATTATTTAGTACGAGCTGTTGGCCCGTCCTACGTACGGGAATCGAGTAGTCAATTAAAATGGAATAGTTCAGAACACCTAGTTTACACGCACAGTGACAAATTCTGGCAGTTTTAATGGGGGCCAACTGCCCCCAAAACAACCTAATTAACAATTAATTGTTATTTTTTAGTTGTTGACCTTATTAACAAATGTAACGTGGCTACCTATTTCTTCCATCCGATTATAGACCTAAAATATAGCGATATGCATTTTAAATTCGGTAATTTTGCCATAAAATAGAAGTTGCGTCGATTTGAAAAGACTTGAAGTGAGATTGGAGACCGATTCACACACACTGGTATTGAGTATAGTTGCTACAATAATTGCATATACCACACTTATATATGTACTTACCGCACCTTTACCTCCGTGACCACAGACTGACACCTTATGAGGATTCTGGCCACCCATTCTCTTCCATCCCCTGTCTCTTCTAATTTAGATCCCGGTCTGAGGATGTATTTCATAACTTGGTCTTTCCACTTAATTCTTGGTCTTCCAAGTGGTCTTTTATCTCGTGGTATTATGGAATATACTTTTAAAAGTTGATTTATCTCCTATCCACCACGCATAACCTGCCCATCCAAGCCTTTTACTTCTGGAAAGCACCACTATATCTGGGTGTTTACACATTTATCTTAGCTCTCTGATTGTTTTTATCTCGACCTCCGTTATCTTGAACTGATCTGTATATTTTGTCTGCACTTTTCAATACTACGGGGAGAGTTGTGGTATGGTATGAGTCAACTTTGGTGCACATTGGACAGTTTTATAGAAACCTACTACACCAATTGACGCTTTCATTACTAACCAAAATTATAGTATGACTCACATACATTCGGACATACAGAAAAAGAAGTATAAATACGTAAACCACTTATATCTTAAACGATTAAGCAATAAATTTCTGAAAAAAGATTTCCCAAATATAAGATGATATTTCCATGGCATAAACTAAATAATTTACTTACACAGTTTGCATTTACGACAAAACTGTTTGAGATGTATAGATCAAAATAACACATTTACTGATAAAGCAGATCCTTCACGGTAGAAAAAAAAACTAAATTTTAAAGTGAAATAGTATGCAGGCCAACACCGAAGAACAATATTTTTGTATACAAAGAACTTGTAACATAAACATTTCAATGACAGTTTACAACCAGCTGTTAGTTTAACAGCACTGAAAATACTTTGAATTGCTAGCGTCGGCTGCTAGACTTTTTAAAAATTGAAACTTAATTTCCAAAAAAACTGAAACCCTAAATTAAAATTATGGATTCGACATTCCCTAGTTCTCAAAATTATCTTTCTCTCCACACAAAAATCATGAAAATCGGTCAAGTGGTTGATTCAGAATCGTGAAATAAAAAAACCCTGTTTCGTTTTAATATTATAGATTTTTAGAGAAATGTGTATATGTATATAACAGTAATCTTCATGCATTTTATTATGCATGAATATTTCAAATAGTGTTTATAAAAGGTTGTATTTTTCTTGCGGTTGTATTTTGTGGTTTTCTGTTTATTTATATTATTATGCCCATAGCACGTAAAAACAAAAATTGTTACCCAACGTGTTATATACATTTTTATGTAGGTACCGGTAATTGAATACACTACAAGATGTTTATGTTGGTTTGAAGTAAAAACATTTGGTACAAAAGTTTTATACTAAATACTATGAATTTTGTTCACAAAATCACTAAAATTAAAAAACATTATTTTATTTATAAATACAAAAATATTTTTACCATAAACTTTATGACTTTTTTGATTCCTTACTTCATTAGCTTTACAAACATGTATATTTCATTATTAGTACACATATACACACATATATTATATAACTTTTTACAACACAAACTAACACTCTACGGTTTTTCAAATTTTTCCGTTCTCCGTTTGTTATTATATTTCGCCCCAAAAACTTATAAAAAAATTATTTTTCTAACATGTTATATACATCTATGTTGGGAATTAGATTGTCTACAAAATGTATATGATGAATTTCCCATAAAAAATCCATAGGAAAAAAATACCTAGGCCGCTTTTGAAATAAAAAAAAAATCAATTTTTTCTCGCTTTACCGAAAAAATACACTGTCTAAATCATTATTATATTACTATTTCTAGATTCTCCTGTTCTTTCCGAACAAAATGAATATGAGGTTGGCTAGGTTTACTTATACGGTTGAATTTTTACGAATTTTCAAAAAGAGGTCTGCATAATCGCCAAAATGGGTTGGCCATTCCCCACTTCTAACATTATATGCAATAAATCTGACCATTATAAAAAATATTTGATTGAAAATTCAACTGGGCAGTAAGAAATTTGTATAGTCTGCAGGTTTGCTCTGCGGAGGTATTTTGATCAAAGGAAATGTATGGACGTAGAAGAATCTAAACGATTTTTATGGAGTATTATAATATGTAGTTACTATAAGCTTAGTAGCCTAAGTGGATGTCTTTGAATGTGTAAAATGGTCTTACTGATTTCCAGTGTAATTTTATTCATATAGTTTAGCCATTTAAATGAATACAATCGATCTAAATTAAGCTGTAGGATAGTATCTCTGTAGTCTGAATAACTTAAAGGGCTGTGCATAAAGATCCAAACTCTTAAGTCCTTCACCAATGTTGATTTATTCTTTGCATCATTATTAAAATCACTCTGCTTTGTTAACTTATTGCTGCAATACGACTGTTATTTAGCAGCTTTAAATATATAAGTTAAATACATAGATACAGTGAATAGCTGTTGATTAAGTTAAATAGGTACAGGATACTTAACCAGTATAATTCCAAGGCTGGGATCGGGAAAATTGTTGGTAAATCATTTGAACTTTGAACACATTAATTACTATTTCCACACCCTTAATAATAGGTAACTACTCTTCTTCCCAGCAAATTTTAATTGTAACCAATACATTTCAGGTGCTTGGAAAGATGTCATACAATATTTCTATGAAGATAACAGCATTTATTCTCACCGGTCTGAAGTTCTGTTCATTGCTGCTCTTCTCAGCAAACTCAACAAGCACAGTATACATGGTGTTGATATCTTAAACTTCATCCTTGAACCAAATACATCCAACTGCAGTATACATGGTGATGATTTCTTAAATTTTATCATTGATCCGAATGCATCAAACTGCCTGCTGACCCTTAAAACATTGCCGGATTCAGAGTCTCATGTGATTTCGTATAGTTTGGTTATAGAATGTGAACAAAGTGAATATAATGATCACAAATATGATGTCAAAGTAAAACATATGTTAATGGTTTCAAAGTTTCTTCGTGAAATTGTGGATGAGCTGAATTCTATGGGTTCAGAACTACCTGTGAAATTGAGATGCCAATTCGCTAGATGCCTCCCAGCTACTATAAATGCCCAGGTAAGTCAACATAATAACTAGACACAGCAGTCTTTTGACCATCTGTCCGGTTGGCTAAGTCCACTTTCCACTACACCATTACAGTCGGGACCACTAGAGTCTGCAGTTGGCGGCAGCCAATCACAAGACAAGGCTAGTGTGACGTTCCCATATCGCCCGTTGACGACACTAATTAAAATACTAAAAAATATTTTCAAATCAGCTGGTATTGTTAGATTTGGCAACACTGCTCTGTCCTCATTGGCTCCTCCGAAGTCATGTGGTAAATAGGCTCCTCCCTCAACTGCAGACTCTCGTGGTCCCGACTGTAGGCCTACAACAACACTGCACTCCTACAAAAGATAATATGTTCTGAAAATGGATGATGGATCTATATGGAGACGACGTTACAATCACATGTTACCCACCAAATTTAAGGCGGAGGATTGATGTGTATTCCAAAACTACTGGCTATAAGTTATTCATAAACATCTGTTCTTATTTATTATTGTTAATGTTTGTACGATTCAGTTTTACAATTTAATTTTGACAAATAAAGTTATATTGAAGTCTTACAATTTACATGTTACATCATTAAAATATCGAACAAATTTAGTTTTTTTACTTTATAAACAATTTTGGAAGCTATTGCCTAAGCTTAAAATCAATAATAAAAATATTTTTAGTGTATATACTCATAACTGTATATATATATATATATATATATATTACAGTAAAACCACACCAACTCAACAATTTGTGGACCAAGAGTTTGGGGGTGTTCAAGTTATCCTAAACATTAAATTTTCTAATGGATTTTAATAAATGAATACATGACAGGCTAATTTATACACACAGATGTATTACTTACATGAGCCATTTTTGCATATGAGTAAACAATCTTCAAATAAATGTGAATATTCCAAAATTAAAACTTGAAAATTCGACATAACAGTAAAACAAGCCAGCTAGACATAGGCTTACCCTGTCAGCTCTTGACTGTCGAGTTATAAATAAAGTCGAGTTAGTGAGGTTTTACTGCACATACATAAATTCATACATACATACATACAAAATTTAAATTTCAACTCACATATTGAGCACTTATGTAAAAAACTTTCCTGAATTATTTTTATACTTAGAAGATTGTCTATGATCTGTAGTGAAGACGCATTACTTACCAGTGGCGTAGCCAGGTATGGAGCGCCCTGGAGCAGGGATGGCCCAAGCCGCCCCCCAGTGCCGGGGAGTCAGGGGGGTATGGAATACCCCTAGTTAGGCATGAGGGTCCTCCCCCGGGAAAAATATTAAAATTAATAACTGTAAACAAGCGTTTTTATAAATTTTTTTTCTAGGACGCTAGGCACGAGACAGGGATTGTTTTTCACAATACTTCAGGCTAGACCTAGGGGTTGCAGCATTATCACTTAGATCAAATTCATTGGTGACTTGGCGGGGACCAAACCCGGGACCTCAGGGACTGAAGTCCCGCGTTCTAACCACTACGCCAGCTTGCTCCCCCAAGTTTTTATGCAATAGACTTAATATTTTTTAAAACATGAATTGGTATTTTAATTAGGTTTATTATATTTAACCTATTTGATTAGGGTGTTTAAAAATAAAAACATGAATTTATATTAAGTTCATTGGACGGAACTTATCCTTACTTAGAAATCTCCTCAAAACAGGATAGCTTTACCAAGTGCACGTAAACAGCAGGAACTGAGCAAAGGACGCAAATTTACAAATGGCGGGTAGATGTTGGTGACGTTTAAGCACTTAGTTAGAAGATAATGCCCGTTTGAGCATTATCTGAAGCATAATTGAACAGTACAAACATAAATCGTTTCCTACTTTAACAGGATTTTTGACATTAATGTAATAAATAACTAAATCGGGTTTGGCGGGCCTATCAGCTTTAACTCAACTCTCTGTTCAAAACTTATTACCACCTCACCACCTGCATTCTTTGTAGAAATATTTTTAACCGAATTCTTAGTTCATTATTAGCACTAAACAACACTTCTAAAGGAACAGTGGTATATTAATAAATTAGCAACTCAATACCCCTGCGCGTGGCACGATAAACATACCCTCACGAATCACTTTAGTATTCACTTATTTGACTGATCAGTGATCAGTGATGATAATTGTGTTGACAGATCTCAGCGCTCGTTCTGGCAATAGTTAAAACTACTGTTTGGAAATGACGGAGTCCCAAACGCCCTACAGTATACCTGTTGCATTAGAGCCTGATGCAGCGCTGTGATTGGTAGAATATTTCCAGTATTTGAAGTTCATATGGGAGTTTGGACTCATACCTACTGAGTCCTGGCCTCCTCCCTCCCCTTCACCATCCATGTTTGCTGTGTGTATGCTGCATTATCCCATGTAGGCTATCTTTTATATTATTTTTTTTTTTTCAGTTAAAAACTGTTCTTGAAAAATCTGTTTTTTTACTTACTTTCACCTAAAAACATAAACAGAAATGGACTGTTGCATATATACGGCGTTTGGGCTATATAATAATTTTTCACTATTGTCTTCGCTATAGATAAGACTAAGATAAGACATTAAGACTATAGATAGACACCCGGTCTTGTCACAAAGTAAATTATCACTGTTAAAAAGGTTTTTGCCTGTGGTCTGCTTGTACTGTTAACCAAGGAAAGCCAGTCCATGGTAATGATCGCGGCGTAGCATATATATGCGACGCTCGGTAGCAACCGTGTTAAATGAAACTATTTTGTTTTTCAAATGACACTAACTATGAAATTCTGTTGCAGGATTATCTAGAGTTCAGTAAGCTGCTTGTAACTCTGGCATGTTCTAATGTTACCCAGAACGCTCTCTCTAGCCAAAAGACACTGTACCTTGTTGACAATATATTATTTGATGCTATTAAGACATTTTCATGTCTGAGACAATATATTTTTCTCATGAACCTGGCTGTTTTTTACTCCGGCTGTTTCTATAAATATTTGGCTAGATGTCAGGATAGCTTTTTCCTTGACCTGGAACAACGTATAATTTCCTTATTGGTATGTATTTTTTCCTATTTTGTTTTGTATCATCGTCGTATTTTTGCTCGGTCATTTCCAAGGGTTTTTTTTTTTTTAAAGAACACCTTAATATGAAAGAAGTTCACTCTAAAACGGAATGTTTAAGGATGTCTGTAATATTTAAACACACAGTTCATAGATTTTTCATTGACTTTTTTGGCTTGTGTTTACATTTAATGTTTTCTCTCTAGTTGTCTTCATAAACTACAAAGAAATACAGGAACCGGCATTTGACATTTCTGCTTTTAGTTTTTAAATTTCTTGATTGAATTTCAACTAATTTTGTAGTTACTTAAATAATGTCCCCAAATTGTAAGTTAAATATAGGGTGTTTATAAAAAACTTTCCAGCTTCAAACAACCAAAAAACCTTAATGTTTCTACTTAAAGCTATGAAATAACAATCAATGTCTAGGAAATCTTTTCATGTTTTTGGTACGTCATAATAAGGAGTTTACCTAACATCAATGTGTTTGCCATTATTTGCTCGCAAATAATCAAGTCTAAATTCCAGTTTGAACCAAACATACCTAAGATAAGACAATTTATTCCAGCAAAGATTCAAGTTGTGATTTAATATCACCTTTTTTATTTTAGTAATTAGTTTATAACAATAGCTTTCTCCTTCACACAATTTAATGTATTTGTTGTAATTATTAGCGAATTTCAAGTAGCTATTACCGTAGGTGGCACGGTAAGACCTAGACCCGGGACCGATTTACTTTTCCATTTTGATGTCCCCAGAGGCCAAAAACACCATTCGTTCAAATTTTTATATATGTATATATATATATATATAGACTTATATATATACGTCCGTGAACGCGATAACTTGAGTAATTTTTGTCCGATTTTGATGAAATTTGGTTTAAAGGTGTAAAGCGGGATAAACTTGAATGAGTTCGCGAACCAGCACGATCGGACCATGGGAACGGGGCTTTACGGGGGGTTTTATGGGGTAAAAATTGGTTTTTCTCACTATTGACCCTCAAAACACAAAATTTCCCGATTTCTCTTTAGACCTTTTTAAAGAGCTTAAAAAAACAAATAATTTAGTATATAAAAGTATTTTTGTTCGGTTATTAGTAATGGAGAAAATTAAAAAAATTGTAAATTTAAAATTCCCATGTTATTCTTATGGAGAATATTGTCAAATGTTGTAGTTTGCTTGTTTATGGATATATTTTGATCAAACTTGGCAAATTTATTTATTTTGTACTAAGCTATCAATATTTTACTCAAAAACACACTTTATTAGTTTCCTTGTAGCAGCAAACCTAGGTACTCGTTAAACCTAATGTTATTGAAATATATTTAACTGAAAATCAATTCAGACAAATGGAAATTCGCTTAGTCGGCAGGTTTGCTGCGGCGGGGGTATTTATAAATCAATAAGTATGATCACCCTGCAACAAGTCAGTCGTTGGTCGTTGGTGTAAACATTCAGCGTTTGTGACACAAATTCAACATTTGGATAAAAATGAAATGTCATACGTAGGGTAGACTTAGAGTTTTTAAAATCTTGGGTTTGTTTTAGCGCAATATAATTTGTTTGAACCAACAACTGGATGGATATAAAAATCTATACCTATAAAAGAGGAACTATGTATGTATGTATATAAGTATATACCCATTGTTATAAAACTTTCAGGCATTATTAAGCATTAAGGATGGTTTGGTGCAGATCTGTCAAAAGAGCTCCCCCCCCTCACGAGGGTTTTAAGGGGTCCAGTGTCATAATTTTGGAACTTATATGTTTACAAATAAATATAATTTAAAAGCAGATGTTTACTTTCACCAACTGTTTTGTAGGTTTGAATAATCACAACATTCTGCATTAGTCATGATTTGAAATAGTGCCACACTTTTTCCACGGAATGCAGCAAAGAAAACTATTTTACTTTTGGATGAATCTAAATATATTAAACCTCAATCGCAACACACCTGTGCACTTAACAACGTTTAAAATCTCCAATATTGTGAACATAAAATCCTTTATCACAGTATTATAAACAAAAAAGGTATGGCAATGCCTTAATATTTTTATCTTTTTTTTCTATACCCACACAATCTAACATAAATTATTAAGTTAATAATAACCGTGCGTGCTACCTCAGGTAATCAAATGCCTCCCAATTTGACATTAACCCACCACATTACTGTCATTAAAAGAAGAAACTCCAATAATACTAATTCGAAACCTAAATCCACCCAAACTGTGCAACGGAACCAGCCTGACGATTTAAAAATTACACCAAACTTGATTGAAGTTTAAAGGAGAAATAGTCTTAATCCCAAGAATACCGATGATTTCATGAAGATCTTCCCTATTAAAAGTTAAAACTGTCAAAATTTTTCTTTAGGTATGCATGTAAACTAGCTGTTCTGAATTATATTCAGTTTTAATCAACTACTTGATTCCCGTACATAGGACGGACCAACAGCTAGTAATTGTTTAAAACTAGAGGTGTATCGGATATCTGAAAAATTGGGTCCGATAGGGTATCTTTCGAATAGCCAAATTTAATATCCGACCCTATCAGTTAATTATCCGACTTTTTCGGATAGGCTATGTATTTTGATGTTTTGGACAGAAAAAAATCTTCTTAACCATAATTTTGAATTTTTTAAAATCAAGGAACAAGCCATATTATTAGGGATAGGATATTTTTAAATAAAATTCCCCCTCATATATTACTTTTCCTACTCAACAGCTTCAAGGATGTACAGGTTGCAGCAGACCTACACAATGTATAGCGGCCAAACTAAACAAAGTAGATCTTTTGTAATAACTTAAACCTCCCTATTTTAATCCCATTGAATTTGGATACATTTTTTTAAAATTTCCAAATGGGTAGTTTTGTGGGGTGGAAGTAGTTTTTGGACATTTTTCAAAGTAAATGTAGGGTTTTATTGCAAGAGTCTACAGTAATGTAGGGAGGGGAATTAATTTGATTCCAAGATCAATGAAAAGACGCCCTTTTCAAAAATGTCCTCAAATGTACTACTACGCCAAAGTTTACTATTTTAAAAATACAAGAAATTTTGGAAAGTGTGAGAGCTTACAAGTGAATAAACTCAAATAGCAACAGTTGTTTAGTAATCATTGAAAATGGCTTTAAAACATCTTGGACTAAGTTTAAAGTTTAGCTCTATCTCCTCCAACGGTTTCAAAAAGTAGTCTGAAAACGTGTTTCCAATGATATGACTTATTTTTCTTTTAATGTTGGCAGCCATTTTTATTTTGTATTGCCAGCCTAAATTACTTCACCCCCCCATCCCTCAAAATAGGCATCTTATCCCTATTCAAAATCAGTTAATCTTAAACTCACTTTCCAACTCCAATTCAATTCTGTTGCTGTACTTTTGCTGATTGTAAAATGTGATTGGTTCATTGGTTAACATTTTGTGTTAACCAAAGTGTTCATTTATACACTACATGTGTCGTAGTGCACATATCTGCACCCTTGAGTGCACTGATTATAGAAGCATACCACCAGTTCTGTCATCCAACAATTTAACCGTTTTCTTGGTTGCCCTCAGAAGTGGTTTATTTATTACCACAATCTTCAGAACAAGTATAAAACAAAATATTAGTCTCACACTTTAAAGTTATTCGTTATTTAAATTTATGAATGAATACAACAACCTATGATGAAGGGATAATTCTATTTATTATTTGTTTCAGACTTTTTTTCTGTGGTCCCACCCCCTTCAGAACGAATCGTCTGGCAACAAAATCATCATAGGCGGAACGGATGTCATAAAGTATTTGGATATCAAATCATGTAGTACGCCAACACTTGTACAATGTTTTAATGGGGCAGTTAATGCCTTAGAGGGTTGCCAAAGGAAATCTCTTCATGAAAAAACTGTGAGTAAATAGTAGTTTACGCAACGATTGCGTTAAGTGAGTCTTTACGACACGAGTAGAAAATTTAATGCACGAGCCTTGGCGAGTGCCTTAAAAACTTCTACGAGTGTCGTAAAGACTATTAACGCGAGTTGCGTACACTACTTTACCTACGACCGTTTTTTAATTACTATCAATCTGGATTTAATTACTAACAATCACTAATGATAACTTTTTAGAGAGGTTATGTTTTCGTGTATTGTCATTGCCACTGAAAGTGATGCAACGACTTGTTGTATAATCAGCTGATTTCCTGTAATTACGTGTTTGTTAAACTTCGTTAAATATTACATTTCTAGCAGCATTTTTACCATAAATAATATTGTATCAGGTACAATTCGGCAAATATTTCATTTATTTTTGGACTTCCACCAACTTAATTATGAATACGCGCGTATCAACATGAACAAGTCGGATCAACAATTAAATTGGTCAACTGATCAGCTGATCAGCTGATTAGTTGACGTTCGAAGCATTACAATTTTAATTCTTTTCTCTCAATACTTGAACCTCATTGGTCCGTTACCTGTGTGGATATGAGAAAACTATGCGGATATGAAATGAAACTATGCGGATATGAAAGTAAACAGCTGTAAAGTGAAACTTTTCAATTCTAAGAACTGGACTGAAATGGCTACTTTAAAAAACGGTCGTAGGTAAAGTAAATTTCCGGAGAAGATTGATTGTAAGAGTTGTAGTTGAAGCAGGTCTAACCAGTGAAGGGCCTACTAGCTTATTGACTACAGCCAAGTTTGGCCACCACTGGCTAACATGTGGCTGCTGGTAGTGTGGTTGAATGTATTAACTTGTGTTTAAGTTTATACCATCCTACGAAAAACAAACATTCAAACTTAATTCACACAAATAAAAAATATTTAATTTATATAGGTTGTAAATATATAATAACCTCTTTTTAAAAATAAATAGAGGGGGTTTTGTTTTTCTTTTTTGCTGTGAAAACGTGTAAAACATTGTGTGTATGTGTGTGTGTGCGCAGAGCTACAAACCAACGGACCACACCTGTGTCCCAATTTTGATGAAATTTGGTATGTTACTACTAAACTATGTTTTAATTTTTGTTTTTGTTTTTGCCTCCTGATCTACTATATTATTAAAGTGATACAATCAAATTTTATGTAAACGGTTAAGGCCATTTACCAAATAAAAATATAGACGTATGGCACATCAAAATGAAGCTTAGAGTGTGTAGATTTGCCGAAAAGTATTGATATGGACGAATTTTCTAAGGTCTCTGCCCCACAGGCTGATTTCCAAAGGGCTACGCCTGGCATGCTTCCAAATTTTAAATTATTTAATTTAATTTAGTCAATGAAACAGCTGGTCAGTACAATTCACTGGTGTATGTTTATTTACTCGAAAAAGATGTTTGTATAGATTGAGTACTGTAGGGTTATGTTTGGTTTTAGAAAGGTTGTATATAAGTTTTTTTTTATTGCTCAGAGTTTCATTTTGTAATTTATATAGTTAGCTACATGTAAAGAGGCTTGACTAAAATTAACGAATTAAGGTCATTAATGATAAGCATCAATATGATGCAATTGATGCCATTGCTACACTAAGGTACGTTGTCATATTCTTTTTTAAGCTGCGTTGTCCAAGGCGCGTCTGTTGCGTCCGACGCAGAGCGATGATGGCCGAGCGATGATCGCCGAGCGATGATCGCTGAGCGTCGATCGCTTAGAGGCCCGTTGTCCAAGAACGCGTCTATTCAGTTCAACAGTTGGTTGCTGACTGTATTAAAATTTATTTTGCTCTCACTATTAGCGTTAAGAGCCAAGTCTTGAAGATCCTATTCATCGACGAGATAGAAAACGAGGAAATTCTGGACCTTTAGTGAACCTCGATTGTGTACCCACAGTGTTTTCAAAAAGAGAAGTGAGGAAGGATATTTTAGAATACTTATCAAAAACCACTTTAATGCAGACAAGAGTCTGTTAAGTGATTTTTTTTACTTTTAATGGAAACAGTTTAAGTTCCGTTAAATCCCTTAGTTGTAATAATTTAATTTAACACTAATTTATTATTATTTTGAAATTTTGTCTTAATTTAAATACAGATATCTCATATTCTAAATAACTCCCAATATGTAATCCATAGCTAAAATAAAAGTCAATACTTTGGTGAATTATTTTAGACTATAATTTTAATTTAATTTTGTGTTTTTGTTCGTAGCGGGTCTCTAACTCGTCTGATTGTAATTATCAGTAACTCAAATGGAAGCCCTTACATTACTGAATATTTTAAGGTTGAAACGAACTGCAAGCGTTAATAAGAACTGGAGATATTTAAAAATAATGATAAAAGTACGAAACCTATAAGAAATGTATGGGGAAGAGTTTTCGTTTGAATAACTTTAAAACGAAAAAAAATAAAAACGGATTCCCTTATTGAAATTAGCATGAAAATCTAGTTTTGTAAATGATGTGTCACAAAACTCTCATTACATAAAAACAATATGTATATCCAATATGGCGGATCCAAGATGGCGACCATAAACGTGTTTCCTATCGAAATGAAGTACTAACCACCCAATAAAAACTGGTGGTGGTCTTAAGTCAATATCTCAAAAATGTGCATAAAAAATGCATGTGGAATAATTTTTTATTATTTTTCCAATGTTGGGAAAAGCCACAATTTTTGATAATGATTTTAGGGGGTTTCCCATGGACCGATTTTTGGCAACCTTTAGTATATCACTCAGCAGACTCAACACTACAAAATAAAACCCTAAAACATTATCTTGCAATCTTTTTAGGTCATATTCTATATTTCTTTGACTATAGCCATTACATTAAGATGCTGTATATTATGGAGTATACGGGAGAACACAGAAACAACAATGCAATAGACGCAATAGACGCTGGCCGTCAGCGATCCCGTCTGCTCCCGGAGCAGTGCCCAGCGTCAGACGCTCGGCGTCTCAAGCGTCAGACGCTAGAGACGCTCCCTTGGACAACGGGCCCATTGAAATCAATGCTTAGCAGTCACTGAGCGTCCATCGCTAGCGTCTATTACTCAGCGTCAGACGCAACAGACGCGTTCTTGGACAACGGGCCTTTATCTATCAACATTAAAATTAGGTGTTTGAAAGTAAGTAGGTTTACACTTTTAAATCAGTTTATATTTTCAAACTAAATCACAGAGTTGCTGTATTTTAAAACACACATCAGCACCACTTTAATAGTTCTCTAGGTCACATTTTCTTCCCGTTGCAAAGCACGGGTATAGCAGCTTGCCACAATTTAAATTAATACTAGAGGTTAAAATACCTTAATCCGTCAATGTGATCACGTCACCGTTGAGCTGCGACCGGTTTTAACCCAGCAATTGTGGTTATCCTCAGGCAAAGAAGAAACATAAAGTCACTCGGATGAGGTCATCAGAAAGTCTATAAATTATACATAACGAAAAACAACACCTAAAGACATTTTTACATAAACACGTGGTACCTACCACTACTTTTTATCAGTACAGTTCACCCTTGTAATATACAGACTCTCCTCTTGCTTTGCTGGATACCTACATTTCATGCACAGGCCTTTGTGGCTCATGTGGATGAGCAAATGTAAACTTCTTCCTTCTACTGTGTGTTGTAAATATTGGGTTTCTGTGTTAATAAATGTATTATTAATTTTGTCATATTTTTCAGAAAAGCATAGTGTTCAAGGAACTCATATCATGCGTTATTAGAGTGTTGCAAGATCCATGTTGTGACAGGAATGGCACTTTTTTCACGCAACTCAAAACACCCCTTCTACGAATGATTACTATTGCCAATGAACTTGTCAAAACTTGCTCACACCAAGACATCTTATGGCTGGTAGAAGTTATGGAAAAACTCTTATTAGCTACAAAGGGTGATGTTAGGGTATGTATGTTACTAATAAAGTCATATTAGTGTTAAAGTTATTTGAGAAAATTAAATATTTATTCCTCATATTAATTTTACAAAAACTTTACTATTCACAATTAAATATAATATGTTTATAAGTTATTGTATTTTCTTCAGCTTGAATTTGTTCTGGGAGGTTATTGTAATTTTTTCTACCCATGTATCATGTTTTGTATGTAATATTCTTACTGGCGAGTTTTTTAACAAGTGGTATTTATTTAACAAGAACTCCTTAAAACTGTTAACAAAACTATTTTCTGATTTAAAACTTCTGATACAATAATTGAACTAATTATTATGTAATCCACTGAGAAGTTTGATGTCACCACAAATGAGTTTTTTAATAGCAGGGTGTCTAGTAGTCGGGAATAGTATTGAATTTCAAAATGGTCTTGAAAAGTCGGGATTTAGTCTTAAATTTGATTTCAAAGTCGGGAATTTTCATGATTTTGCCGCGATTGTTGTCTTGCGATTACGTAACCGCGAAAGCCAATGATGATGATGTCTACACAGCCTCGGGAAATGTTCACGATTTTGCCGGGATAGTGGACGACGACGATAACGTTACCGTGACCGCGGGAGACGACGATAACGTTTCCGTGACCACGAGAGACGACGATGACGTTTTTGTGACAGCGGGAGATGACAACGTTTCTGTGGCCACGGGAGACGACGCTGAAGTTTCTGTGACCGCAGGAGATGACGATGACATTTCTGTGACCGCGGGAGATGACGTTGATGTTTACCCGGACGAGGGAAATGTTCTCATGATTTTGCCACGATCGCGGAGGACGACGATGACGTTTCCGTGACCGTGAGAGTAAATGATGATGTCTACACGGCCGCAAGAAATTTTCATTATTTGGTCCCTATCGCGGACGACGGTGATGACGTTTCCGTGACCGCGGAAGACGACGATGACATTTCCGTGACCACGGGAGATGACGATGATGTTTCCGTGACCGTGGGAGACGACAATGACGTCTACACGGCCGTGGGAAATGTTCATGATTTTGCCGTGATTGCGGATGACGATGATAACGTTTCCGTGACCGCGGAAGACGACGATGACATTTCCGTGACCACGGGAGATGACGATGATGTTTCCGTGACCGTGGGAGACGACAATGATGTCTACACGGCCGTGGGAAATGTTCATGATTTTGCCGTGATTGCGGATGACGATGATAACGTTTCCGTGACCGCGGGAGATGCCGGTGATGTCTAAATAGCCGCGGGAAATGTTCATGATTTTGCCGCGATCGCGGACGACGACGATGACGTTTCCGTGACCGCGGGAGATGACAATGATATCTGCTCGGCCCCGGGAAATGTTCATGATTTTGTCGCGATCGCAGACGACGACGATGACGTTTCCGTGACCGCGGACGACGACGATGACGTTTCCGTGACCGCGGGAGATGACGATGACATTTCTGTGACTGCGGGAGACGACGATGACATTTCCATGACCACGGGAGATGACAATGACATTTCTGTGACCGCGGGAGACGACGATAATGTCTACACGGCCGCGGGAAATGTTCATGATTTTGCTGTGATCGTGGACGACGACGATCACGTTCCTGTAACCGCTGCAGTCAATGATGATGTCTAAACGTACGGTACGCGAAAGATTTCATGATGAAAAAAACCAAATCTGCTAGTTAGAGTTTTTTATTGCTGCATTATTTCTTTACTTGAAAACACCACATTATCATAATACTACTTTATGACAAAGACAGGGGTTGGTGTAGTGTTATTTAGAAAATTTGGTTAAGCTATAAAAATTGGTATCGGTATCAAGAATCGAAAATCGATACATTTTGGTATCAACGCCCACTAATTGTTGAAAAAACTAGTCTTGAAAAATCTGGAATTAGTCTTGAAAAGTCTGGAAATAGTCTTGAATTTTATAATGGAAATAAACTAGACACCCTGTTATAGAGAAGCAGAATGAGTTGATACAATTGCATAGCCTTGCCTTGGTTAAAAATTACCACCCTGTCAGAGGAAAATGAAGTAGAACAACTCTCAAGTAATCTCTTGGTTATGAGTATTACTGTAGTCTTTGATCTTGAATATTACAATTAAACCTCTCATTCTATTGTCAAATCTGAAGCCTATGTTATGTGTGTTTCATTGCCTCTTCTGATACAAGGCCACTGCAAGACAAAATAGCAACACCGCTGTCCCGGCAAACCGTAACATCTGATGCACATGCACTTATTTGTAATCTTATGTTTACTCGTTGGTTATTACTGTAATTATCATCGTGATGTGGTTGGATTCAGTTGGATAAGGCTGCTTAGGGCTAAAACGAAATCTTTACAAGGCTCACGATCTCCCTTCATTCTGTTTTGGATATCCTGTGTAATATCTAGTTGTTCCTCCACCACAACAAAGCATCACCTTTGAAAACAGATAAGCATTGATTAATTTGCTTAACCTTTCTATTAATAAAATAGGATCCATCTTCTCATCAAATATTAAATTCCATTTGTGCACGTTGTCACACAAAATCTGTGTCAAGGAATTTCCTTGGTGCTCTCTTGCGGAAGTGGTTTCTGTTTTACCACTGGAGTAATGTTCATAAAGTTGGTTTTTGGAGTTAATTAAATATTTGTTAGTCATCAAATTCTTTTGTAGGGCCTTCGTCCTTCCACAAAGAAGGAGGTGGAAATCCAGCGAAGTTTGTCAGAGTTCTTTCGGAGGTCATCAAACTGACCAGTCGGTCTCTCAAAGTTTTCATGTCAGCTGTATGCTCATAATCTCCAAAACATTATCTAGGGCCTCCTAGGGGGGGGGGGAGGTTAGTGTCATTAGGGGATTTGTTAGATAAAAGGTACTTTCAGTCTACTTGCTTGTGTTCCTTCATAAATGTCTTTGGTTTCTTTGTCTGAAGTAAACATAGCATTCGTATGTTGGTGACTAATCTGGCACAAAGTTCTCTTATGGTCTCAATACTATCCAACGAAGGGTTCTGAGGATCTTCAGCTGCTACTTCTCCAATCGGTAAACCCATTCTACATGATCATCCAGTTCCTGGCTAGTTTTCTGCGATGGGACGACCGGGTGACTTGCTATAACTGAAGTGGTGGATGAATGCTGGCCGTGGTGGTGGTTGTTGCTGTAGTGCAGGTGCAGAGTGTTGGAAGATGTGGGAAGTCTAGCGATGTAACACTGCTGATAATCGGGTTCATCTGTTCTTCGGCAGGTGATTTATCTCCTACACCTAGGAACGAAAAGACAAACCCACCTTCGGACTCTTAATCTGGAATTCTTATAGTCCCTTTTTGGGTGCCAAAATATGTAATTTGGTTAGCTTCAGTCAAGCGCTGGGATCTTTCTAGGGATCTGAAGTCGGTCTTCGATTTAGGAAAAAGGTATAGATAGCTCAGATTGATATGGTTGGCCCACAAGGACCGGAAAGTTCTGGTAAATAATATAAACCAGTATAAGAAACTGTGAGGTACCAAATTTTAAGGGGGGTAAAAACGTATTGCTAGTCAACAAACACCATAACTTACCCGATTTTTATCCACAACATCCTACTCCTAGGCCTATGTGTTGGCCATAGCTTGGGCTATGGGCCAAAGAACGTAGGCCTACTTTTAATAACAGTGAAGTACACAAACACACCCACAACAATATATTTATTCATAATAGCACTCCGTTTCACATAATAAAGTTAAAACGACCGATTTTACGAATATTTAACGCCGATTACAACATCACTTAACCTCAAAATGGTGTTTGTTGACCAACGACAGACGACAACTAGACCGGCTCAACAGGTGAATTTCCGATCAGCTGTTGGCTAGTTCTCGAACTCACCACCAGAGCGATTAAGCCTCGACCGAGGAAATCATGATTTGAGCCGGACAAGATTATTCGCTGTTCGACCGTCGACTCGTTAACGAGAAGCCTCTTCGCACAACGAAACTACTAACTTCGTCATACGATATCGATTCAGGTTAGCTACGTTTTCAGACTTTCCTACTTTCTTTTAAATATTATTTTTCCAACATACGCATACTCGTCTGCCATTTATTTTATCCGTTTACGTTCGATTATAATTTTCTAAATTTTATTAACTTAGTTCTTGCCGACTCGTACAAAACCCGCCAGTTCCTGCCTGCCAGTGACTAGCGGTGGATATTTTTCGGCTCTTTTAAACCAATTGGCTATTAAATTACGTTAATTCGGTTCGTTTCACGATTAAATTATTACTTAAGTTACTCCAGTTAATTCGACGTTTTAATACCCCGAGACTCGTCGTCTGAGTTCTAAACCCCGTCTTTGGCGGGTGAAAGAATCGAGTCTTGGGAGCAGGCTGAGTTGAATAATCAGCTACAAAAATTAGTATTAAATTTATTTTAAACCACTCACGTTAAATTATCCGTCCAATTATATTAATTAGGCCCCGACGACTCTGTAGGAATTGCTTTTTACATTAGATTCGATTTTATTATCCACCACCGTCTTTAGCCAGATAGTTTACAGTTTAATACGAGTATTTATATCACATTGGCTTAAGATTGAATACTCGTCGGCCCTACAGAGTCATTCTAAAAGTTAGGCAAAATTCTCCAAAACACGTTAGCGAAGGTGAGGATGAAATAGCTCCTACTGAGCGTCTGCAGGATTTCCTGAGCGCTTCTAGAGCTCTGAGCCTTCGATTAAATTTTAAATAAATTGATCAGTCAAAGCCGTGACACCTTCGTATCGACCCCTGGATTTTTCTCGGCTCCTTCTGAGCACTCCGGGGAAGAAATTTGAGTGTGGCCGGTTCTAGGGGTAGGCCTAGCCTGACTTGGTGAATACTAGTTTATTCCCCCCCTAGAATTTTGCGTCACAAAACTCTCATCATTGCCATCAAGGGAATGCTTGGATTTCTCTATCAGGAAATGGTACTGTCCAAACTTCTCTAGCAGGTATAGGTACTGCTCAGATTTCTCTAGCAAGAAAGGATACTGCCCAAATTTCTCTATCATGTATAGGTACTGCTTGGATTTCTCTGGCAGGAAGGGCTACTGCTCGGATTTCTCTAGCAGAAAGGTGTACTTCAATTATTCACCAGAACTCCATCCAACCATTTCATCTGACAACGAAGCGAGCACTGTCTTTTTTTGATGGACCAGCAACACTGACATTGTTCTGGTTTCATGGTGGAGCGACGGCTGACTCGTTCCGGAAGGCAACTGACTGTGGGCTCTACTGCCCCCTATTTTATATTCTCCGCTCTACTCCTGATCCAACATAGCCTACTGCTGTCGAGGGCGTACTTTGTGGTATGGTACCTTACACCATGGCAACAGGCTTGCCACACACCAGCACCTGTGGCCTTGTATTAGAAGGGGCTTTGAGGTTTTGTGTTGATAACAATGATTGTATGCATGTTGACTAGATGGAAACCAACACAACTAACTTTATTAACTTCAGCTAATCTATAATTTAATCTATGTTCAAATGTTCATTTTCAATCTTGTGACCGTTCGTAACTACAGTACTCTGAACTTTTTAGTTAAAGTTGTATACAAGGATGTATTTGAATTATAACAATTGTACTATATAAAATCAAATTTGCAATTAAATTAAAAACAAGTTCAGTTTAATACTTTTGAAATGGGAAGGAAACATTTAAACAAGTTTGTGACTGGGGTAATCTCTGGTAGACCAACAGAACTTTTGTTCATTTGTTTGTTCAAGATAAGCTATGTTTGTTAATCTCATCCAGAATTGTTGTTCGTTAAGGCTTGATTATACAGGGGGAGGTCACAACCTACTAGTCAGCTGTTTCACGATCAGCTGGTAAACTAGCCCAGTGTACATACACCGTTTGCTTGATAGCTGCTATCAAAAAAGCTGTGGCAAAAATTTTACGAACCTCTCACCAGATTTTGAACATACTATATTGTAAAACTATCCAAGTTGTTATTGATTTGTGTCCGTGATCTATCACAGTTATTAGGATTAGCCATGATAATTTTAAAGATATTGGCATTGACTATTGGATTAATAGTCAAAGATATTGGTTAAAAGGGTATTCATACTCACTGGCTAGTTGCTTGTGATAGGTTGCACTGCATCTTATGACTTTGTCAATGATACTTATGTATTTTTACGACAAATAACGATTTATTTTTATTTATATTATAATGATTATTATTGTTATTATTATTTTGTGAACTCCCCCTGTTTAATTAAGCCTTTAACAATGACCAGAATGCCATAGGTCTGTCTCAATAAAGGATTAATTTCAACTGTTACTCCTCCAGTTGTAAAAGGAGGACTAATCAAGGACCACTAATCACCATAAACATTTTTTTTTCAGATTACTGTAAGCACTCTCCAACTTTTAAAGAACATAATAAACGTAGAGTTCGCATTCCACATAGTAGAAGATCTTTGTGAAGTAAATATGTACAATTTGTTCTGTTTTTTAAAGCAGAGTTTAAATGACTCTTTAAGTTGGGAGGTACGAGACACAATACTAGAAGTTTTTCAATCTGCTGTTCAAGTTGGAGACAGAGGTGGGTGTTGAGATATTATTAGTACAATATTACTATTAGGTATTATTAGTATCTTATAATTTTATGTGAGTGATACCTCGTAAGTGACACAACTGACTTGATCAGGGCTTGATTTAAACCATGGTGCTGTTTCTTGGCCAGTCTAAAGCCCCCCATAAACGGTCTGACATTCCGGCAGATGTATCAGGTCTACGGTCCGTCTGTCAAATCTGGCTGTTACCCTACACGATCCGACCAGTGTTCCGACAGGGCAATCTTCGAGAAACATGAGCTTTATTCTGTCAGCATCGGATCAATTTCAGATGGTCCGTCGAGTCCACAAAATCACTGAAGTGAACTGCCGGTACGCAGACCAAGTCTGTTGAGCCCATACATGATCTGAATTTTTTTTTACAACATTTATTTCTGGATATGTTGGTTGTGTCGGCCGAGTTGACAAAGTCAGTCTGGAAATCTCCACCGACTGCAAACTTGTCCGACTGTCTGCGGACCCAGTCTATTTTACCCACACACGGTCGGAGTCGGATGAGTCAGCAGACATGTCTTCCGACACGTTGGACCGTGTATGGGGGGCTTAACACATAGCAATACCTCATGAGGAGCACAACAAAATTGATTTAAACCATGGTGATGTCCAGGGCCGGCCCCAGTGGTGGGCGGTCGCCCAGGTCGGCGGGGCCGGGGCGGTGGAACTGGGGCGGCAGAGCCAGGGCAACAAAAAAATTTTAGGGAACAGTAAATTTTTAATACGAATAAAATAATAAATTCATTAAGTGAATGTGAAGAGTACAATTTTCTATATTACATTTTACGCAAAGAACAAGCCTAAGAAGATAAACGGCAATTCAAACATAGATTTAAAATTATAATTTTAGCCCAAATATAAAAACAAACCACTTGGCTTGTGTATCAAACAACCGTCGCCACCACGTTACAACGTTACCCAGGACGAGTGACAGCGTCAAAGCAACATTGCAGCGGTTGGGATTGACCTCGATGTATTCCTCTCTCTCTCTGCCCCCTCCCACGACGCTGTGTTTACTTTATTATTGATTATTTTGGTAGCATGGGCTTCCCTTCCCTCCGAAAGAGAGGAGTTGCAAAAATGAGATATTTTGCTACTTTTTATCTTAATAAACAATGTCTTAATTTGCTAACAATTAATAACATTGCCGTTTTGGGGGAAATCCAAGATGGCCGAAAGTCCTGCCGACTCTTAGTTCAGATTAAAAAAAAACCCAAAAAAATAATTGAGATCTGCAACTGTAAACATAAACAAGCTTATAAAGTGAAAATAATTTTAAAATGTGCAAATTACACTTAGAACCCTTAGTACATAATTAAGTCAGAGTTCAGGGAGACACCATAATTCGACGATCGCTCAAGGAAGGGGTGGAGCCCAGGAGTAAACAATTAGGCGGGACAGTGGCATAGATAAGGGGGGATCAGGGGGATATAATGGGTAAAAAAATACCCCCCTTCAACCTATAATGGGTAAAAAATTGTAATAACATAAAAAAAAATGTTTTAACGGATGCAATGAAATAGTGAACCTTTTTAATTTTACTTCTATTGTATTAAGCTTGTTTTTCGAAAGTATACTTTCAAAATCAATAAATCGTAAATAAACTGCAATGCCAGTGAAAGTAGTATGGTTTTTGCGCGCGGAACAGAGTACAGGCACAAGTCACGGAAGGTCAACAGTCTATCCGCCCCTCCCCCTACCACCACCACTTCACCTTTTACACCTACCTGAAATTAATCGTTTTAACGTCAGCAATAAAATAGTTAATCAAATGTCATGCCTATTGTACTAAGCTTGTTTGTTTGTACGTATACTTTCATTATCAATGAATAAATGGTAACAGATAAACTACATGCCGGTAGCCAATAGCAGTGGTGGGGTGGGACATTTGCGCGCCAAACAGACGCGAGTTACAAGACGTTCCGCGTTCAACCGCCCATCGACACCCTCCTCCTCTACCTCGTCACCCACACTACGCTTGATCTGTTGTCTGGTGTTAATTATTGTGCCAGTGTGTTGTTATGATTTTCGTATTCCGTGGTGTCTCATGAGTGTTATTTTATGTCGAAACAAAGTTAACTGATCGGGTTTTTCGCCCCGAAAAGAAAAATTTGATGGCGTTAGCTGGTGTAGCAATGGAACAACGAAGTTAAGTGATTTTATTACTCGCCTTTCAAATAACTTTTTTTTAAATAGGCCAAGTCCCGTTAACATATTAATCAAAATATTCGGTGTTAAAGGATAGAGAAACATAACGTCAAATGTTATCATATAACGAAAAGCCTAGCATAAGTACTTAAAAAATAAATGTAATAAAAACTAGTCCACATGCAATTAAAGCAAAAAGTTTAATTTCATAAGTACAAAATTGCATAAAATTGTATTAAGTATTAACACCAGATTTCACTTCCTAAACGCTTAAAAATAGTTTTTAGAGAAGTTATTTTTCTCAAATTTTACGGGGGACCCCCCTTACTTGCGGGGGGGAATTCCATACCCCCCAGACCCCCTGGGGGGCGGCGGTCGCCGATCTCGCCCAGGGCGGCAGAGTCGCTAGGGCCGTGCCTGGTGATGTCTCTTGGCCAGTCTGACATACCTCGTGAGTGGTACAACAGACTTGATTCAAACCATAGTGTTGTCTCTTGGCCAGTCTGACATAATGGCAATGCCTCAAGATTGCTACAACAGACTTTATTTAAGCCATGGTGCTTTCTCTTGGACAGTCTGACATAGACATAGACATACTTTATTTGCACAAAACATTCCATACATGTCATAACATTTAGAATAGGTGCATTGTCAAAATTATATCCATACATAAAATATTTTACATTTAAACTTAACTTAGAATTAAACACTTAAAATGAAAAAATAAAAAATGTTTTTAATTGAAGTTCTGTAAATGTCTTCAATTAAGTAAATACCCCCGCCGCAGCAAACCTGCAGACTAAGGGAATTTCCATTTGCCTGATTGGATTTACACTAAAATATCTCCTTAAAAATATCACATTCCTTATTTAAATAGAATCAGTTTAACACATACTTAGGTTTGCTGCAACAGGGAGGGTAAAAGTGTTTTTTTATGTAAAATGTTAATAGTTAGTAAGAAATAAAAACATTTTACAAATTTGGGCAAAATAAGTTAATAAACAAGCAAACTACAACAGTTTACTTATTCTCCATAAGAATAACATGGGAATTTTAAATTTACAATTTTTTGGAATTTTCTCCGTAACCATTAGGTGCATTATATTATAACGCATCAATATACTAAATTATTAGTTTTTTTAAGCTCTACAAAATAGTTTGGAAAGAAATTGCAAAATTTTATGTATTTTGATTCAAAAATGGGAAAAACTCATTTTTACCCCATAAAACCCCCCATAAACCCCCGTTTCCATGCTGGTTTGCGAACTCGTTAGAATAAACGTAGGTTTACACGTTTGTACCAAATTTCATCAAAATCGGATCGTTTTTGCTCGAGTTATCGCGCTAACGGACACATATATAAATATATATAAATATATATATATATATATATACAGGGTGAGTTTTAATTGTCCCCCCCCAACTTTTTTCAACATTTTTTAAAATATCAATCCCAGACCACTTCCAAACATTGTTGGGTAGTAAGTATTTTAACGGATGGCGTTTTTGGCCTCTAGGGACCTCAAAACGAAAAAAAAAATCGGTCCCGGGTCCAGGTCTTACCATGAGTACTACGGTAATAGCTTATTCCCTATATGGGAAATTTGCTAAAAGCCTTGTCAATAAGTAAATTATCTATTGTCTCTTTAAATTTGGTTTTGCTTATTAACTTATAGCATGGCGGAAGCACATTGTACAATCTCAGCATACAATGGAGATTTTTTCATATAGGGTCAAATGGAGTCTAAATATATTTTCATTTTGGTTTTCATACCTGTGATTAAAATTTATTGTTTCTGGTAGCTCATTTTTAACTGAATGTATGTAATTTAATAATTCTAGAATAAATAACCCCGTTAAAGTCTGAATTTTTAAATTTTGAAAATATTTCTTACAAGAACTGCGTGGATGAGAGTTTGTGATAATGTGAATAATACGTTTTTGTAACCTGAATATATTTTTAATACAAGTAGCTTGAACCCATAAAATCATGCCATATCTTAATAATGACTCCACATAAGCATGATAAACAACTTTAAGTGTCTCAATCTTTAAGAATCATTACTTTTTCTAAGTACAGAGCCCATTGCAAACCCTTGTTTATTCAGGAAAAAATACTCATTGTTTTTAATTTATTTATTTATGTGTGTCTTGTTTATGTAAAAGTTAATATTAATGCTGTAGCCTTGAGATCACATTCACATACCGGTAGTCATTTAACTAGACATAGGAATAATTTAGAGTTACCTTTAGTCAGGCTAACAAAGTCACAAGAATCTTTTTCTTATATAGGGTTAAAGATGTTTAATCGTTTGCCAGCTGAGGCACACTGTGTTGATCTTAAGTTATTTAAAAGTAAACTTTTTGCTGGTTATTAAATCACCCTTTTAGCGAATTTCCCATATGGGGAATAAGCTATTACCGTAGTACTCATGGTAAGACCTGGACGCGGGACCGATTTTTTTTTTCGTTTTGAGGTCCCTAGAGGCCAAAAACACCATCCGTTCAAATTCATATATATATATATATTTATATATATATATACTTTTGTGCCCACCCAGTTTGGCAGTCAGTGCACTGGTAATTTACTCGGTGTGGCAGTCACCCGCCCGAAAGCCAGTCAGCTCTCCCATAAGCCAGTCAGGTATGGCTTCCCGTGCACTTTATACGTATGAAAACAGCAAACCGGTGCTGCTGCCTGTGTCGATAAGCGTAACTGCAATACCAATGCGGAGACTGTCTCATCGTGTGTTCTATCGTGGAGTAGTGTAGCCAGTACGGCACCCTACCCTACTTTGTAGCGGTAAAACCCAGCGGTCTGTAACCT